TTTTTTTTTTTTTTGTATAGGAAATCGCATAATCTTCTCGTAAAATTCAGAATTCATAAGTACGAGTTATGATTTGGCGAGTCCAATTTGAGAACTTTCAAAACATTACTCTTAATATCTATAAATTCCGAATTGTACGAGAAGATTGTGCGATGTTTTGTTTATAACACACTCTACAAAATCGAGCAACTTAATTGGGACCATCGCCAACTATTCCGGTCATGCGCCCGCGTACAAATTCAGCGGTGTCGCTTGAAAGTGTTAGGCGAGTTAAGTCAGATTTTACAAAGAAATGTATAGAGAGTCAAGATAGTTTTCGATTTATAAATTTCTGTGTAAACAGTTTTCCACTTGCCGGGGTAGAAGAGTAATATATAACATTAAAGCTTTTAATTTTTACCAAACATACTTTAATTTGTTTGKAAAAACCTTTTCGTCTCGATAGTTAGATTTTAACAGCCTTCTTGCCATATGTGCTTTGTTAAATTGCAAGAAAAACACAAAAGGTCAAATATTATAAACAACATTTCTCAAAATAAGAGCTAGTTACCTCATTTGCCGGGGTCGATCCTTAAAATACGCACATTCTAAATTACTGATGTCGAATCTGTGGTCGATTGAACGAATTTAAACTTTTCGTTTTTTACTTTCAAAAAGCTCCGATTTGAGACGAATATTTGTGAGATCCTTCTTCAAGAATAGGCACTTTGTGAAGCAAAAACCTTGAAAATTATTCGCAAAATACGACATGCTTGGTACCAAAATAAAGCTTGAATCCTCAGCTCTCGTTTGCCATCGTTTGTAATAGGATACCTATTAAAGCACAGGAATACCGTAGCAAAAGGTTTTGTTTCTCTAAGTCCGGGCCTGAGAGAGCTTGGGCTTCCTGTGGTTTTTATTTTATACAAGATATCCGCTGACTTGGCGAGCGGCGCATGGCCGAAATAGTTGGCGATGTCTACAGAATACAATTTGGGATTTAATGGTACTCCCTCTTGACCAATCAGAATGGAATAATTCTGTCGAGTGTATTATAAGAAAGAAAAACGGTTTCAAGCGCGCTCTTGCCTTTGCTTTTGCCTTTTTGTGCTAATCGAGGTCCCGTCAGAGGAAGCTAAGATTCAGTGTGCATTTCTACTCCTATATTGTAAAATAGCAGACTTTTTTTAGACTTAAAAATAAAGACAGAGAATAATATTTTTATTAGAAAATTAAAGCACACAGAGAGCTGATCATTGATGTCGTGACTCTGTTGGGTGGTAATGTCAACACCACTGCCAAGAAAGCAGACGAGATCATTCGTTTGGAAGCCCAACTTGCAAACGTGAGTGTCTTATATGATATGTTTTTTCCTTATCTTTATGTTCATGACAAAAAAGAAACAAAAAGCTTATTGTTTCTAGACGAACTTACTTTTCTTTTTTTTGTTAGGTGTCTTTAACTGATGCAGAGTACACGCCATTACTAAAAAACAACAGAACTCTTGAACAACTTCAAGTAGAAATTCATGAGGTAATGTTTATAATTTGTCACTGAGTTGTCCATTCTTAATCACTTAGAATCTGCTTGATATTAAATCCAAAAAAAGCGTGATTGCAACCCCTGGAAGGCCAGGGTTTTCTTGTCGACTGTTTTTTCCGCGTCGTTTATTCGGCTCTATATATATTATATATATTAAATATACCAGAGTGGTGATAAACTAGCTAAAACGCAAATACCCGAAGGCTATACGTAAACAAGATCCTGGCTGTATATTTATTGTAGGAGAACAGTGCTCGGCACTTTACTTGTTTTTTCGATAAAATTAATAAAGAAGTTTTTGTGAAGGACAGTGCCAATGAACAGACTGTTAGGATCTCATTTCCCTCACTTAAAGGATCAGGGTTCGGCTAATCTGGTCAGGAGACAATATTGAGATCATTGTATTTGAACCTTGGCATTTTATTGACATTCAACCTGTTTTTCGTAGTAAATCCGAGTCCATTCAGCAATTTCTTCGGCCTAAAGAAAAGAAGCCTGCCATCGTTGATAATCGATGCGTTGTTCATTATTTTAAATGTGATCAGTGTGATGCTGATTATGTAGGTTATACTACAAGGCATTTGCATCAACGCATTTAAGAGCATAGGTATTCTGTCATAGGCAAACTCTTGGAAAGCACGGTTACATTGGTACTTCTAGTTTTACTAGTCTTTTCTCTATTCTTAAGAAATCCCAAACTAAGTTTGATTACCTCCCTTATGAAATGATTTTTATTAAGGATGTTAAGCATAAGCTTTATACCTAAAAGAACTCCATCCCAGGAATGACTTTTAATTTGTTTGCATCATCTCTAGGATTTTAGTTTCGCAACATTTCATTATGCATTCATCTTCTTATAGCGGAGCTCAAGCACGGGCCTTCGGCCCGCGCGATTGGAGCACCATACTTAAGAAAAAATGGTAAACCATGGAGTTGATTTTTCATGGCTTGGTTGACGTCTCTTCCGTCCGTACGTCCGTCCGTCCGTGTACACATCACAGGAAACCCGCTTGATATCAAAGCAAAACTACTCACAAATGCGGCTCTCAAATGCACAGAAAAAATCGCTCTTGGACAAGTTATAGACCAAAAACAATTAAAAAACATTTTCATGTAGTCAAAGATGAATCAAGAAGTGTTCTTCAAGAATTCAGGTGTGTGTTTTTTAGCAAACAAGCGTATATTATTGTTTTGTTTTTTGTTGTTGTTGTTGGTTTTTTTTTTGGTTTTTTTTTACGAGCATTTTTCTCGACGGAATCGAGAAATCAAAGACTTTCAATCCAAAACATTTTATATTTCTATCCATAAGCTTAATTTATTTTAATGCTGGAGGAAATATAACATKAAGAGCATATTACAACAAATATTCGTCCTTTATTTAGCTTTCTAAATCTTTAACAATTCGGTTGTTTTTCGTTTAAGAAAAAGCTTTGTTCGCCTCATATCGCGGGGTCCAATCGGCAAAACAAACAAGACTTTCATTCAATAATTTTATATCTTTCTACAGATAATTTATTTAATCATTAAATGAAATATAAATTTCTACCAAATATTCAACTGTTTATTAAGCTGTTCGAGCAAGTATGATTATAAAAATGAGTTTAAATTAGTGTTGTTGAAAGATGTTATTGTATAAAGACCTACTAGACTTTCACTCTAAAAAGCTAAAAAATATTCAAAAACATTTACAAACGCCAATTTACTGCCAAAGAAATGAGTCATTTTGTATTTTGCATTGCCTTTTGCATTATTTTTTATTTTGTCTCAGTTGTTCTTGTCAACTGTTTAAATGAATGTAAGCTCTGTTTTTGCCAAAACTGTAAAAGACCTATTAAGTAAACCTCATTTTTTGTTCACCTTAACCAGTTTTGGAGTCTGTTTTTTAGTCTTAATTTGTCCTAAATCTCCAGATTTTCRATTTCAATGAAAGACATCCGAGGTAATTTCACTAAGCTTGATATTGTATTGGATTATCTGTAGTTAGCTTTCGTTTTTCTTTAAGTAAAAGAGATTCAAAGCCTAAAACTCTCGGCCTTGGAAAACTTTTTGTCGAAGAATCTTCCAAGAACAAAACTAGTGGTGAGTTGTGTACAAAATTCCTAATTGGGAGAGTATACTCGCGCAAAAAAACAAAAACAAAAAACAATGTAGTGCATTTCGATTCGATTTCACTGCATTGTTTTTATTATGGGAGAAATTATCATCATTTCGAATAAAAAATAATTGAAGACTTTTTCCCCGATCTTATTTTACCTTTCAGTTTCATTCAAATTGTTCTCCCTGTGACTTCCGTATCGGGAGCTCCGCTTTTAGGCAGTGCCTAAATATATATATTATATATTACTAGTATGCTTTTCTTCGCTTGATAATAACTTAGGTTAAGTCAAAACGTCGCATAACTTTTATGTTTTTTTAGTTCAGTTTTACTATGATAAATAGTAGTATTTCATCGCAACGTTTTATAGTTAAAGGTATTTTTATGTCACAATTATTTTAACTCTCCTAAAGAACACGATAACCAAATAATCAGTAATAAAAATACAAGTAAACGTCGCAAGAAAGCAAATCATAACGAAATAAAAAAACTTTGCTCAAAAAATGTGCTAAAATAGTCAACGTGCCGTTTTATACGTTATACCGTTATACTGTCTTTTTTTATTTTAAATTCAAATTTTATTTCAGCACTGAAAAATTTCCCTACTGCCGATTTGAATGCATCTCATCCTTTCATTATTTTATCGTTTTGTACTTTGTATAGTTCAACTGGACTGACTACATGAACAATATGTTTGCTCCAATTACGATTCCGAATAGCGAAGTTATTGGCTTGCCTACGCCGTCGTACCTAAAGAAGGCAATGAAAATAATACAGGAGACACCAAAGAGGTTGGGTATAAAACATTTATATTTTGATAATAAAATCAGTAACCCCAGCCCCCTAATAAAAAATCAAATTTAAACATAACATAAAATGCAGATTTGAAGACTTGCTGACTGACTTCTAGATTAATGACCATGCACCATTATTAAATTCTGTTAATTTCGCTCCGAATTTATAGATCTCGATTCTTTTAAACAATTTGACAGTCAGAGGAATTTTTCGAGTCTAATTATTTCTTGATTGGGGAGCATGAAATTCCATTACCTATTAATTATATAGCTGCCTAATTAATCCCATATCAACAAGACCTGTCCAATTAAGAAAATAATTGGACAGTTACCTATATGGGATTAATGAGAAGCTGTATAATTAGTAATTTAATTATCTTGTTTTTATATTGTTTTCAGCGTCCTGGCCAATTATATGGTATGGTACGTAATACGGAAAGAGATTTCGGGGCTTTCGAAGCGTTTCAAGGACTTGTGGGTAAAGTACGAGAAAGAAACAAAGGGTACTACATCTGAGCAAGACCGATTTAGAAAGTGTATTGACTCAACTTTTAACTCTTTCAATGATGTAATATCAGCTGCATACATCCAAGAATACCATGATAGACTTAAAAGCCAAAGAACCATGGTAAGTTATTGGACTGTTATTCAGTATATATTACATAGGGTACAAGATCTAAGGTATGTGGTAGTGACTAGTGGGCTCCCAGACCTCACCCCTACGGGTCAATGGCCTCAGCAACCCACTGAAGTGGAAAATAATATAGTTTGATCTAGAACATTATCATTTTTACATCTATTTTTTCAAATAGTCTTTATTTATTTATTTATTTATTTATTTATTTATTT